TAGAATGGATCAAATTTGATTCGATATTTTTCGGTCAAGATTTTTATTCGGCGAAGTTGGAGTCGGCGAAAATAAAATTCGGCGAAGCTGTACTAATTCATCTTAGCATAAGATATTTTCAAAGTAAACAGATGTTCAGTTTATCTTAATATAATTATTAAGTTGTTTGCTTTTAAATAAAATACACTGTTGTTTTATGTGTCCACTTCTTTAAATGCTTGTAATATGATTTATAATGGTACATGTATATTGCGTAAAATAATCGTATATCGATCAGTATCTGCTTCTCTCTGAACGTCACATACTTCAAATAGAGTACCCGGTAGAACAAGTACTTCAGCTTCATCTTCATAAGCAGACCAACACGGTAAATTTCTATTAGTGTCACGTCGAAGATCAATAGCTGTACTGCAGGGATGATCGAAATGGCATTCACAGAGTACTCTATGGGGTTTAAGATTGTCCGTTTTCTTACTACGTGCAAAGTGATAAGCCTTTTTGGGATCAACAGATGTTGAAGTTAATGTTTTTATTTCAATCAATGTTCCTGGATTGTGAATAGCCCATTTATATTCATCAATGTCTTTCGTTGCCATAGTTAAACCACTATAAGATTGACCTTTGAAAGATCGATCCTTAAAAGTCTGTAATTTTGAATACATTTCAACAGCAAATACTTCAACATTCGAACGTAAAGCACCATAAAATTTAGTTTCAAGTGTATACAGACGAATGAGAGATTCTATTTGATCCAATGAACTATATTCATCAAACAGAGAACGCGCTTCTTCAAAATTAGGATCACTCGATGGAACACTGTCTTTTAATATTCGTTGTAATTCACGAGCGCAATCGTTTGATCTTTGTAAACTTGTAAGATAATATTTAAAAATTTGCGCACGTACAATAAGTTTAACATCTGCATTTTGGAATTTTTTCCCACTATTTTATAATCATTAATCATACCATTAGGTACACTATTAATGGTTTGTTCGATTTTCTTTTCGGACATAAATTCTAAACATATATTATCCGTACCATCATCGACAAAACGATTTGTATCTGTTCCTGTTGGACGAAAAAATAATGAGCGAATCTCATCGTTTGCTGCTTCTTCATATGGTGTCATTTCATATTTGTTCCTTATCCAGGGGTTTGCCCCGTTCTGAAGTAACATTTTGACAATAGATTTATGGCCATAGAAAGATGCAGTATGCAATGAAGTGCTTCCATTTGGCTCTAGACGATTGATATCAGCTGTTTTCAATTGTGCTACTAGTTGTTGAACTTTTCCGACACCACCATTACGACACGCTAGATATAATTCACTAGGTTTACTTGCAGGGGGACCTGCATTTTTTACCAAATTTGTTGTACTCGGCGTTTGTCCCATAATCGATATTATGTATTATTATGAAAATATTTCGAATGTAAAAACTTTTGGTTGCTAAAAAAATGGTGTTTACTTATACAGAAATTGTAATGAATCATCAAGTGATTGACTGAGGTACAAAATGCTGGTGAATTTCTTTTTCTTTTTTAGTTGTTTTCGAGTTTTTGAAACTAAGCTCGTGGTATGTTTTAGTAAACATGAAAGAAGAAGAAAAAGATCGTTGAAACAAGCCATTTTCTTATGTGAACGCTGCATGTAAAGAAAGTTTCGGAGGCTTCATAGATAATTATTCGACGTTGTACCGAAGGCACATTTTATTGTTTCAGAATTCGAATCATTCGTCTACGATGGGCAACGCGAATAGTGAATCAAAGATACACACCACTCCCGTTAGTTATTTTCTATAATGCCTGCCATTCAGGTGGTATTGAAACGGTCAAACAAATGATACTTGCAATGAAATTGAAATAAATAAATCGTTTAAAACCTAATGGTAGTACAGCATTACATGCAGCTGCTTTTTATGGTCATCTTGAAATCGTTAAATTAATTCTTAAACATGGATGCTCGACCACAACAATCAATAAGTATAAGAAAACTGCAGCAGAAGAGTGTAATGACACACGAATTCGTCAATTGATACAATCGTCACAGGTGCCTCTGGGTAACAATGTACAACCGAACGATGAAGTACCTCAGATGAAGTGGGCACAAATTTATGAAAATCGCAATCACGAAGATGAATCCACTCTAGCTACAAAGGTAATGAAGCTGCGTCTAACTACGTATTTAACTAATCAATTTAAAATCGATGGAGCTAATCGAACAGATCATGTAAAGAAAGTTATCCTTCAAGCGATTGATAGAAATAATCACAACACTTATCAATTCGTATTATCATTCGTCGAAAAATTTGAAGAGACCCAAAATCCAGAGCATTTGATGGTTTTGTATGCATCGGAGACACCTTTCTATAGCTATATAAATATATACCCAGATGAAAGGTTTTTTTATGGAACTATTTATCGGTTTATTCAAGTTCCCGAATAGATTCTTTGCCGGTTCAGCTTATCGAGACATTTCTCTAAGGATGAATCAACTTGAGTTCTATGTTAAAACACGCAATTATCCAAGAGGTTTCATAGAAATGCGCACAATAAACGGTGCGAGTAAATCTCGCCGTGTTGCAGAAACATACGCCTACTGCAGTCGTCCTCAGACCGGTGGGGTAAAAGCGCTTTTTATTATTGATTTCAATGAACCATGTGAAACAGCAATCGATGTCACTGACCTTTTCCAAATGCCAATAGAGGAAGAAGTTCTCATCGTACCTGGGACGTTTTTTGAAGTAAAATCTGTTGAAATATCGTCATCCGATCATGATTCATCCGACATGGCCATTATCAAACTGAAAAATATACCTGTATCACGTAATGTTTTGCTTCAAACTATAAAGGAACTCAAATAAAATATCTTAGGCGCTATATTAGTACTAAATAGGATGTGGGTTTACAGACGAAAAAGAACCACTTACACCCACGCCCTGTCTTCTAGTTTTAGAATATATCTATTTTTTTTAATTCTGAAATAGATATAGCACATTTTCTTATCAAACTTCACCAGAAAGGGTGTCGATCTATTTTGTTTTTCATAAATTATCCTGGATCAAATCGTTTTTTATATGCATTTAATAAAATACGCTACACCTAAGAAATAGTTTAAAATATTCAAATAAAACAGAAACTAAAAACATTTAAAAAGAAACTTTAAAAAACAGAGCTTATTCATATGCATTGTTCACTTGTTTGCTCTTCTACTTTCACTACACCGCAATGCAGGGTTGCCAGCTGTTCAGGTCCCAAATGAGGTACACTGATTTCGAAATGGGGTACACGTCGGGTACAACTCAATTGTAAATGGGGTACATTCGTGAGGTACGCAGTTTACATCTTTCACACTGGTCATCGGCGGTGGAAATCAATTTCGAAAACTACTTTCAATCCGGAAAGGGCATTCTCAGTTTTTCGTTTTACTATAAAGTCTAGCTTTCAAATTGAAATCTTATTTATTTTCTGATAAATATGTTCACAATAAAATTTCATTTTGACATACACATATTTAATTCAATAATAATAAAACAATGCTCACTCAAAGCGAACCTTCTCGATTTATATTTTCACTAGCTGCTGCACGTCTTTTTTCGAAACTGTATTTTTGTTGACTTTTGGCACACTTAATCAGTTATGGTTGTGTTTGAGCAAAAGAAAAAATCTTCACATGTCACAGTACTATTAAATCTGATTTTCAATTCAGCAGCTATCGTTTCATTCACCATCAAACTGTAACTGGCTGTCCGTGCGCTTTTTCTTTGACTAAAACATCTTCAACAAATGCATTCAAGCAAGGAATTGAGTACACATAAGAAATAATTTTGTGCATTTCAATATACATTGGTTTCGACTTTGCAAGAAGAGACGCCCAAAATTCATCACACCGAAATTCCATTTCTCTTTCAAGATTTTTGGTCGTCAGTTTGTGAACGAGATTATCTTCATTATGGGACTCGTTGCAAATGTCATTGCTAAATTCTTCATAAATATGACGATTAGCAGCCAACTAATATAATTGACGTTTCACATCTTTATCAATAGTAAATGTCGGATAAAGAAACAGAAATTTTCTTAATTTCACCCAAAATATGGATGATAGTAGTCGTAACATTGAAAAATGCAGATGGGGTACAAAATGCGTACCTCGGAGGTACAATTATTTTTGAGGTACAAAATGGTCAAATGGGGTACTGTACCCCCAAATGGGGTACGGCTGGCAACCCTGCCGCAATGCCAATTCCTTCATTCATTTGAATCACACTCACAACCGCGTCATTGGTAATATCTCCAGCACCTATGCGCGCACAAAAAGGAACGAGCTTTTTGTCACAAGGTATGCTGTTAGTATTATATTAATAGTGTTTGGAATTTAGTGTATATTAAACTGTTGATTGGCTTCGTCTAGTTATATGATTGGCCATCGTGATATTTTAACAACGACAGTATATCGTAGGAGAGGAGACAAATTATTACCCAAAAAAAAAAAGAAACCCCTAAAATAGATGAATCACACCATAACATGAGACATTTTCTCTGTGCTACCATGACTTGCGACAGTATGAAAAAGAAAACATAACATTTTTACGTCTTGCAGTAGATCACTAGGGAATTCAGACAGAATTTTTATAGAAGTTACATGAAAGTGGTTATTTTCATTCGCGTGAATAGCATTCGAGAAGCAACCGATGACAATAGTGTCAAACTTGAATTGTGAGTTCAAGTTTCAAGTTTGACATATATGATCGGCAAATGGCCAAAGTTGCTTTCCCCCATGCTTTGTTTTTTCCAACTTTCAAAAAACCACTACACGAGCAATGCCGAATTGAAGTGAAGCTGAATTATCATTTGGATCAGATTTACTTCGAAGTACCCATTATGCTCAATTACAATAGTGATAAAATTACTTGTATGATTTCTTTTAAATCAGAGATGACCATAATATAGATTTTTAACAGACCTTTCACGAGTAAACCGAGGGTTTCTCCAATGTATCGACCACAGGATCAATCCATGGTAGCTTTTTTTATCAGCAATCGAAAGATCAAAGTTTAAAACCACTAAGTCTTTTGGTATAGATATGCATTTTCTCATAGA